TTTCCAGCCTATCCAGGTCAGGCTGAATGGCAGCACAGCCTTCTGGTGTATCTACCACACCTCCCAGTTTGGTGTCATCAGCAAACTTGCTGAGGGTACATTCTAACTCTTCATCCAGGTCGTTGATGAAGTAGTTAAACAAGACTGGGCCCAGAACTGACCCCTGGGGGACACCACTTGTCACCAGCCTCCAACTAGACTTAGCGCCGCTGATGACAACCCTCTGAGTTCTACCATTCAGGCAGTTCTCTGTCCACCGACCACTCATCCAGCCCACACTTCCTCAGCTTCCCTAGGAGGATATCATGGGAGACTGTGTCGAAAGCCTTGCTGAAGTCAAGGTAGACAACATCCACGGCTCTTCCTTCATCTACCCAGCCAGTCATGTCATTGCAGAAAGCTATCAGATTGGTCAGACATGATTTCCCCTTGGTGAATCCATGCTGACTACTCCTGATAACCTTCTTTTCTTCCACTTTTCTAAGGCTACATCTGGAATACTGTGCTCAATTTTCGTCCTCCCAGTTTGAGGAGAGGGATTGAAAGGTAGGATAGATGTAGCAGAGGACCACAATGATTAGAGGGTTGGAGAACTTGACAAATATGAGTAAAAGCTGTAGAAGTTGGGTTGGCTTAGCCTGAGGAAGACAAAGCTCAAGGGGTTTCATCACAGTCTTGCATTATCTAAAAAGTAGTTATAGAGAACACGGAGGTACTCTCTTCACAAGCATGTACAGTGACAGGACAAGAGGCAACAGGCCCAAGGTGTTTGAGGGAAAAATCCATCTGGATGAGAAAAAAAAAAGGTTAAAAAATCTCATGTGAGAACAATTAAACACTGGAATAAGTAGCCCAGAAAAGTGGTGGAATCTCCCTTGCTGGAAACATTCAAGACTTGGCTTGACGGGACCAGGAGTAACATAATTGAAGGCCCTGCTTCAGTGGGAGGCTCAACAATATGATTTCCAGAGATCAAGGTCTCCGAAACTTCCGTGGTTTCTATAATTCTGCATCTCCTTTCACCCTGCTTGGGAAGTGGTATTGTTCTTACTTACCTTGTGAGTGCTGCCCTTCAAGAACATTATTCTCTGTAGTTTTTTCATTCTCAAGAAGGCATCAGAACTCTGAAGATCCATTAGAATTCAGCATACTTCAGGCAGCCAGTGTTTCTGAAAATCAGTCCACTGTTTTTATGTGCTTACAAATTTAGTAAAAGCGCTTTGACAAAAGAACTTTGGTGGTCCAGCTGCTCGTACTTCTGTGTTCGGTTCTCTAGTTTTTTGAAACGGAGGGATTTGGGTACTGTGCAGTTGCTGAATGTATTTGGAGGTTTATATTGATAAAGTACATTTCTAGTAGCTTCATTATTGTTCTTGGGTCTAATAAAAGCTGTTCCATTGCAATAGAATAAGTGAAAGCGTAATTGCTTAATTTGCAAATATCTTGGTAGCTTTCCTTGCTGTCTTCCTGGACAAAGTCATAATGAGGAAGTCAAGGATAAGGCGTTTTTGTGCCATTCCAAAACTTCCTCAGTATGCAGATTTGGAAAGAACAAGCATGATTGGTTAGTGATTGTAAGGAATTCTGAGAATAGCAGAGTAGAAACTTGGATTTTTCTAAAAATCTGTGGTAACTGTTAACTTTTTTCCTAGGCTTTTAATTAAAGAAATAAAACAGATAAAGTCTGAATACGCAGTCCTGCAGATGCAGTCTTACAAGTAAGTGTTTTTCCTTGTAACTAAGTTAGCGTATATAAAATCGAATTCTTACTCAATTTTATGAAATATGAACTATAATTTCATTGTAGTTCACTTGAACTTTTGTTTTGCATGTGCATATAGGGTGAAACAAAATGACCGAAACAATAATGACAAAATAGAGAGAATTCAAACGGTGAGCATTTTTTTTTTCTTTTATTGCTGTGACAGCATACTGTATTTCTGCTTACGTTTCTGCAACACTTACTCTCAGATACAGTTATTTCCACTTGTCTACCTGTGATTATGCTAGCCCCTTCATCTGCCTTGATGCTATTTTGATACTCTGTCATTGTAGGTGGCAAACACTTTAACATAGCATTTTTGTCCTTCTTGCCGATGAAGGTCCGCAGTATGTGGGCACTTATAGATGAAATGCTTACATCTCTGAAAAAAGAAAAGGCAGTTGTGGATGACGTACTTAGTATACCTAAAGACTGTGTTGGTCAGTACACTTTAGATGGATCTAATGTTGCGTTTAGAGTTCCACGGCTGTTGGTTCACAGAGTTGAAAGTGACATACATCAAGTAAGTAATTCTTTTTCCTTCTTGTTAAACTGTATGGGGTTTTTTCCCAGTGCCAGGGGTGTCATTACATACGTGTTTTTTAAAAAAAAGAACTTCAGAGATAATAAGAGATAATTGCTCAAGGGTGGAGAAAATGCATCGAATTCGTAAGTAAAAGTTTGTTATGGGTATGCTGCTGTTTTGTATTGGTTATGTTTCAGCCATTAACTTTTTAAGTTCAGTATCTGCATTAGTAAGTGTGCCTGATCAGTACTTGATTTTTTGTTGTTTAGACATTAAAACTAGGATGACCACTTTCACTATTGCTTTAATTAATGGGCATTTGTTTCCAGTGTGTAGTCTATAGAATCATAGAATGGTTTGGGTTGGATGGGACCTTACAGATAATCTAGTTCCAATGCCCCCTGCTATGGAGGAACACCTTCCGCTAGACCAGGTTGCTCAAAGCCCCATCCAGCCTGGCCTTGAACACTTCCAGGGAAGGGGCATCCACAACTTCTCTGGGCATTGCATCCTGTCAACATCTGGAGGAAATGGCATCAAAGACACATGAAAATATGTTAGACTTAATACACAAATATAAGCGTAAGTGTCCGTGTACTTTAGGAACAAGATTTTGTCTGTTCTGTCACTGGGTATACTACCATAAATAACCTACTATGAATAGCTGAACCCTGCTGTAGAAGTGTAGGGGGACAGACAGATTATTTGCATGCTTATTCTTCATGGAAGATCATAGAATGATAGATTTGTTTGGGTTGGAAGGGGCCTTATACATTATGTAGTTCCAGTGCCCCTTGCTATAGGCAGGGACACCTTCCACTAGACCAGGTTGCTCAAAGGCCCAACCAACCTGGCCGTGCACAATTTCAGGGAGGAGGCATCCACAGCTTCTCTGGGCAACCTGTCCTAGTGTCTCACCACCCTCGTAGTGAAGAATTTCCTTTTTTGTATCTAATGTAAGTCTACCCTTTTTCAGTTGAAAGCCATTACCCCTTGTCCTGTCGCGACATGCCCTTGTCATGCCCTTGTCAAAAGTGCCTCTCCACCTTTCTTGTAGGCCCCTTCAGGTACTGAAAGGCCGCTGTAAGATCTCCCCAGAGTCTTCTCTTCTCCAGGCTGAACAGCCCCAACTCTCCCAGCCTTTCATCATAGGAGAGGTTCTCCAGAATCACCTCCCTTGACCTGCTGGCCATGCTGCTTTTGATGCAGCCAAGGATATGGCTGGGGGGCTGCCCAGGATATGGCTGGCCTTCTGGGCTGCAAGCGCACATTGCTGGGTCATGTTGAGCTTCTTATTAACCCAGTTGTTTTCCTCAGGGTTGCTCTCAATCGCTTCATCCCTCAGCCCTTATTTGTGCTTGGGATTGCCCCAACCCATGTGCAGGTCCTTGCACTTGGCTATGTTGGCCGCACAGGCCCACCTTTCAAGCCTGTCAAGGTCCCTCTGGATGGCATCCCTTCCTTCCAGTGTGTCGACCGCACCACACAGCTTGGGGTTGTCGGCAGACTTGCTGAGGGTGCACTGCATCCCACTGTCTGTGCTGTCCATGTCACCAACGAGATGTTAAACAGTGCCAGTCCCAGTACTGACCCCTGAGGAATGCTGCTTGTCACTGGTCTCCACTTTGACATTGAGCCATTGACCACAACTCTTTGAGTTTGATAACCCAGCCAGTTCCTCACCTGCCATGTGGTCTATCTGTCAGATCCATGTCTCTCCAATTTAGAGACAAGGATTGTGCGGGACAGCGTCAAATGCTTTGCAGAAGTCTGGGTAGATGACATCAGTGCTCTTCCCTTATCCACCAACACTGTAACCCTGTCGAAGGCAACCGCATTTGTCAGGCACAATTTGCCCTTGGTAAAGCCATGTTGGCTGTTACCAGTCACCTCCTTATTTTCCATGTGCCTTAGCATAGTTTCCAGGAGGATCTGCTCCATGATTTTGTCGGGCACAGAGGTGAGACCGACTGCCTGTACTTCCCCAGGTCTTCCTTTTTTCCCTTTTTGAAATGGGCATTATGTTTCTCCTTTTCCATTTAGTGGGAACTTCACCGGACTGCCATGAGTTCTCAAATGTGATGGATAGTGGCTTAGCAACTTCATTCGCCAATTCCCTCAGCACCCACGAATGCAACTCATCAAGCCCCATGGACTTGTGCACCTTCAGGTTCCTTAGATGTTATCGAACCTGATCTTCTCCTACAGTGAGTGGTTCTTCATTCTCCCAGTCCCTGCCTTTGCCTTCTGCAGCATGGGCGGTGTGGCTGGAGCACTTGCCGGTGAAGACTGAGGCAAAAAAAGTCATTGAGTACCTCAGCCTTCTCCATATCCCAGGTAACTAGGTCTCCTGTTTCCTTCCAGAGAGGGCCAACATTTTCCCTAGCCTTCCTTTTACCACCTTTTACCTATAGAAGCTTTTGTTGGTGTCTTTGGCATCCCTGGCCAGACTTCATTCTGTCATGGCTTTAGCTTTCCTAACTTGATCCCTAGCTGCTTAGACATTTTGTCTGTATTCCTCCCAGGCTACCAGGTCCTTGCTTCCATCATCCGTAGGCTTTCTTTTTATGTTTGAGTTTGTCCAGGAATTGCTTGTTCATCTATGCAGGCCTTCTGGTGTTTTTGCCTGACTTCTTCTTTGTTGGGAAGCATCGCTCCTGAGCTTGGAGAAAGTGATACTTGAATATTAACCAGCTTTTGTGGGCTGCTCCTCCCCTCCAGGGCTTTATCCCATGGTAGTCTACCAAGCATATCCCTGGAAAGGCCAATGTCTGCTCTTCTGAGGTTCAGGGTAGTGAACTTGCTATGCCCCCTCCTTACTGCCATAAGGATCTTGAACTCCACGATTTCATGGTCACTGCAGCCAAGGCTGCCCGTGAGCTTCACATTCCACACGAGCCCCCCCTTGTTGGTGAGAACCTCCTGGATTGCTTATGCCCTGCTGTGTTTCGCCTTCAACAGATATCGGGGTGGTTGAAGTCCCCCATGAGGAGCAGGGTTTGTGAGTGTGAGGCTTCTCCTGTCTGCCTATAGAGGGCCTCATCTGCTTGGTCTTTCTGGTTGGGTGGCCTGTAGCCGACCCCCGCTATAACTTCACCAGTCCCTGCCTTTACTTCTGACCCATAAGCTCTCAGTGTGCTCCTCATCTATCCCCAGGTGGAGCATCCTGCACTCCAGCTGGTCATTGACATGGAGGGCAACACGCCTCCTCGCCTCCCCTGCCTGTCCTTCCTAAAGAGCCTGTATCCTTCCATTCCAGCGCCCCAGTCATAGGAGCCATCCCACTATGTCGCTGTGGTGTCAATAAGACCATAGACCTGCAGGCGTGTGCATGTCTCTAACTCCTCCTGTTTATTCCTCAAGCTGCGTGCAATTTGCATAGAGGCATTTAAGTTGGGCCCATGATGAAGCTGACTTACTGGAGTTCCTCTGTGCTGCCTGTCAGGTGCTCTCCCAGTGACCTGTGATCCTTCTCCAGGCTCTGGGCATCTGCTGCTGGCACTGACATAGAACTGATAGGAGTGGGATGGACTGAGGTTCCTCTCCCCTGCCATTGTTAGTTTAAAGTCCTCTTCATCAGCTTGGCAAGCCCATGACTGAAGATGCTCTTCCATTTGCCTGTCAGATGGACCCCATCAGCCCCCATCAGCCCAGGTTTTGCAAAGCAGTTCCCGTGGTCTACGTAACCAAATACCTGGCTGTGGCAACAGTCCTGTAACCATTTGTTGGTTTGGTAAATTTTACCAGCATTTGTTTATTCACCATTAGGGTGCTGTTTAGGCCTGCCATATCTTTTGGGCCAGTGGTTAAACAGAATACCTCATCAGCTGAAGCTTTCTTAGTTCATACTGCTTTATAGGCCGCTTTCAAGCGGCTGACTGCAGAAAACAAACCTGAGGCTTAAATCTAGAGTGCCTTTTTTGAAAAATGAAACAAGCAGGAACTGAATCAAAATACAAAGTAGAACTTTGTATCCCTGCTTTGACTACAGAAGACATAACTTTCTGATATTGATGTTGTTCACTAATTCTTTTTTTCTTGCTTGCTATGCTTCAAGTGTTGTACAGGAAATGTGTATGAAGCTGGAAAACTGAATTTCTTAACAGTCATTCAGTTATTAAATGAAGCCCTGAGGACACTGAGAGACGAACGTTGTCACTATGAATTAAAACAATTTCAGGTCATTGAGAATATGATTACGGTCTGCAATAAAATACTACAGAATTTGAAAGCAAGGAGGTAACTGTCTGGAAATTTTCTGTGATTCCTTTTTTGTAGTCTAAAGATCATGTCTTCCTACCTTGTAGTCTTTTCTAAAATAATGTCATTTAGAGTGAGAACATGGCGGTTCAGTCTTTTTCCGTTGCCTCTAGGAAATTCACGTTTGTCTTGATTATATAACTTTTAACTGAGGTTCTTCTCTAGGTAACTACAGCTTTTTGCCCTTGCTTCGTTAATATTTTAGGCTTTGTTCCTGGGGACCTCATTCACTAGCTGATCTGATTTTTATTTTTATTTTCTTAATGTTAATCAGTTCTGGGATTTTAAAACTTTATTTGAAACTGGATTAGGGAAAGTTTAAGTGTGTATCTCTTTGTGTGTATGAGTTTTGAATTCTACTGTTAGAAACCTAGAAGCTGCTTTTAGGTTGTCAGTTTCAATTAATTCTTAGTGCATGCACAGATGCATGAAAAAGTTGATGCATATCAAAGATATTGCAGGATAAGAGGAACACATAATGCTCTCCACCTTTATGCAGGATTGTTATCTCCACCAACAGACACGTTATGTTCATTTTTCATACTCCTATGTTACAGGCTAAAAATAGAGCTACAGCATAGCGTGTCAACAAGTGAATCTATTTCTAGAGAACAGGAAGACTGGGAAGTGAAGTGGAAAAGCTTTCTTGGCCTGTGTCCTCTTGGTTTAACCTTAGAACAGAATCCAGTAAGTAGTGTTCAATTTATCTGATTCTGGGGAAGAGAAAGGGTGAAGGTGAGAGAGGATGTACATATAAACTGCCGTGTTTTATTGAACTCTTAAGCTTTGTATGTAAGGTTAGGGAATCAGCACAATATAGCAGAAATTGCTTTGTGAAGTAGTCTTTCTTAAGATAAATTTGACTTAATGACAGGTGGTGTCTTGATTTGGGATGGGGGATGGAACAATCTTGTCAAGACAGTAGATGGGCGTCAGAGGGCGCTGACTGGTTTTGTCCTTATCCATCCACCCGTGGAAATTGAGGTTTCGTGTGCTATCAGTCTGAACATCTACTGACTTCTGTTTTCCCGTTTTAAAGTGATCTGCTTGATAAGTGAACAATAATTTCATTCTGACACTCATATTGATACAGGGATCTGAGGTTAGCTACCCAGCAGAGAGAGAAAAAGTTGCATGTTAAGTCTGAAGCTGGTTTGCAGAAAAGCTGTTAATATGCAGATTTCTTTCAGCCTGCTTGTGTAACTTTTGTTAATTTTGAAAGGACCTTAAGGTGGCTCTGCCGTTCTCTCCTAATCCTGCAGAAGAAGAGGATAGTGACTTTTATCAGGATCTAGTTTCGGTTTCAGGTGAGTGAACAGGAGAAGCTTCTTTTCCTTCTCCCCCCTCTGCCACAATTGTTAAAAGTTACTTGGAGTCGAAAAGACTCCCTGCTTGCATTTGTAAATATCTTTGATAGTCTCTGGTAATCTGGTTCTGAATGGCTTCCTGCCACAATTGCCTTACATTTTTCAACCTTGCCATATCTCAAAGATTCTCTGAAGGTTTTGATATGGCAAAAAGAAGATGAGGGGACATTGGAAACTGTGACAGATAAATCATCACCACCACCAGGAAGGTAGGACATTAATGAGAAATTGATAAAAAAGCAGTGGAAAAAACAGAATTTTACTTGTTGGAGTTGAGTGTATTGCATCTCTTGATCCTTAGTGGAATATTTCAGTAGCCCACTCCTTACAATTCATATCCACCTGATTTAGCAAGACAGTCCTAAAATAACTGCTACTTTCTCCAGTTGGTGACTGATTGATCAACTGGTTGCTGCTGAATATGATTTGCAGCAGCTGAGTTGCAAAGTTTTAATCTCACTTTTTAACTACATTCTTTGAAGTTTTAAGAGGTGGGTGGAGAGAACAGGATTCTCTTTCTCAGGTCGGGTTGAGATAGACATATGTGTTCAGCATAGCCTCAGAATGAAAGAACAGACATTCACAGAAGCTCTTTTGTGTTTAAAAAAAACTACCTAAAACCAAACCAAAACTGCCCTGACTCCTAGGCAGAATTACGCTAAACCTTCTCAACAAGGCTTTTTTCATGGATCTTCTAAAAATCACTAGGTAGCTTCTATTACTACAGTTCTAGCAAAGGATAGAGCACAAAACAATGGTATTCTAAGAAGTTTTGGCCAGTTTGTCATTTACTTAGTCCAGGGAAGCCTTCATGAGCTTTTGAGTAACACTGTGTTTCTAATATGACTCCCACAGATACTTGAAAGTTGCCTACTAGGAAAGATAGGAAGTTGGCAAAGGAAGGCTGTCCTATACTTAGACAATGGTAGATGTACTTGCACATAAGTCTCAAAGGTTGTCAAATAGTTAACAATTAAAGCCTGCATTTTTTTCTGCTTCTGATTCTAAAGACAGGTAATAGCAGATATTAATGTTTTAAGGTGTGTTCTTCCTAACAAGTGAGGACTGTACCTTACATTTTGGAGAGCTATGCAAGTAGCAGTACACTCGTCAGAAGTGAGAAGACTCAAGTTTTTGGTAGCCAGGTGATTGATAACTATTAGTAAGTTCATTTAGGAACAGACCTATGGATGCAAGAGGCAATTCACAGGAAGAAAATCTAGGGAAAAGAACATTGTCAAGTCTGCAGAAGACTTTCCAGTTATCTTTGCAGAATACAGAATACTTGTTTACAAAATGTGTCACAGAATCTCTTCTTTTTCTGTTTGGTGATCAAGGGAGAAGCTTTGTAATTTATTAATTTGGGGAGGCTGATACACAACTAGGGCGAAATCTGCTCTAATTGTCACGTGTTCTCCCTATAGTAAAATTGCCTTCTGATGACCGGGACGAATTGAGGGAAATCGTAACGGACAGATACGGGGCACACAATATGTAATGGCCTTCTACTAAGGCTCACATGCCACTTGTTTAATTTGTCTCTAAAGCATCTTTTCCCCCGCTAGGATCTCTGCAGTGCCTTTGGAGTCGTCAAAAGATTCTGAAAATGGACATGTGTTAATTGAAAAGGTTATTTTTCAGCAATTTCCTACCTGTCAAAGGAACTAAGCTTATGATGCTTGCTTTTTACATTGGTTGAAGTCTAGACTTAGTATTTGGGAGGGAGGGGTTGGGTTTTTTTGGTTTTGTTTCTTTTTAAAGTAGTATTTCTACACATCTGAATCAGTCCTGTATAACTGTAAAAGCTAACTGCCAGGGACTTGCACTTGCATCTGACTTCCAGTACAACGTACAGTGTGTCACTGATTCCCTGCTTGCTGAAACTGTCATTTTGGTGTGAGCAGTGGTCAGACTTTGATGTTTCTTTAAGCTGTGTGTGAACTTAAGGGTTATAATGTCACCTTAAAGGAATGTGGATGTACAGTTGTCCATTGCACAGTTGTTCACTGTAGTCTATTCAAGGTAGTTGTAGATGAGTCATCTGTGTTCTATGCAACACCCTATCATAGCCACTACTTATGTCCTACTTGAGATACAATTGTAAAAATACTTCGTGTTTACTTACAATTTAAGACTAAAATATTTTTATTGACCAAACACTAAGGCCATTGCCATTCAGCATATGTACACTGTTTTCTTTATCATGTTTTTATGACACTTGAGTTTAAAACATACAATAATTCCTGGATATTCTTCTAGAACTTGCATATTGAAACTTGCAATAGGGAAGAAAAGCCTGTGCCACCGGAGATCTTAGAAAATGAAAACGGTGAGTCTGTCACTTCAGAGATATGGGAGAATGCAGGTGATCATGTTATCCAAGCAGAGTCTCCTGTCAAAAAAGAAGACCCTCTTAAGAAAGCCAGAGATGAACTGGCAGAACAGGTTAGGAAAAGTGATTTTTAAATTTTCGTTTGTTTCTTTTTAAAGAAGTGGTCATTAAGTTCAGAGAACAAATTACTAATTGTATCATAAAATGCCTCTTGAAATGGGACTATGTCAAAAGTTCCTTTTTTCTGCTAGATGGTAATCACTGACTTTTAGGGGTGACTGCCCAATTAAGTACACCCTGAAAACATGGAGCTTGTGCAGTTGTCATACTTATAAATCATGGTGAAGTGAATAGCACTTTCAATAGAATCATGATATGATTTTTATTACCTCTCATATTTTGATACCTGAACCATTGCATATAGTAATAATTCAGCAGTCTTTTTTGTTTCTGAAGTTAAGCAGATTAAATATGTAATAGAGGCTTGGGGATTTTAAGAAGGAATTTAAGTATTCCCTCTTTCAGGTTTTTTTATTTAAGATTTAACTGAGGGGTTTCTTCACTGTACTGTCACTGTAAAATGTGCCACAGCTTGACTTAGAAAGTAAATTGCATCTTTTGCTAAAATGGTGCAGTTATTTTTCATCTGCTAAGATGTTTTACTTAACGTAACTGTAGTTCTTGTCTTCATGGTTATGCAGTTCTTGATTAGTGTCTTAAATTTCTATCTGAGCACGTTTTCTTATTTCAAAGATGGATTCATAGATGAGCGAAACTAGAATGGAATTGTGACTTTGGTCCCGTATGTTCATTTTGTGTTTGTAGGACACTGTGGTCATTGTGAGCCTAAGTAGTAAATGACAGAAGAAGAGTCAGGAGATCCCAAATTCTTTCATCATTTGGAGAATGGGATTTATTCGGAGTCTTAATTGACAAACAAAGAGGCTATAATTTTGCTTTCTCAGGATTTGTCCTTCTCTTAAATCCTACAGGTTGCAAAAATAGTGATGTCCGAGTCATCTCAGAGTGGTGAAGGAGAAGGAATGCCACTAGAAGATCTCATTAGCGCGCTGGCTTTTAACCCATTTTTAACAAGGAAACAAATTCCCAGAACTCCAGAAAATCTGCGTAAATCTAACTCTGTTTTTTGTAATGCTCATTGACTAGAAATGTGATTAGTTCATTGATGTTGTATGTGTCACACCAGAAGAAAAAGATAATTATTTCAGAGAAGCTGCAAGTTATCCTAATGGCTCACTCTGTAACACAACGTAGTAGGCCTAAGATGATGCAGGACTAAGAAGATGTGAATACTGTGAATTTGATTTAACGTAGATTTCTTTTTTTTCCTGTGTAGAATGTCGTTTTATGTTGAGGAAAAAAAATAAGCATAATATAAGCACAGTAGAAAGCAGCTGCACATATTCTGTCTTGAATTGCTTGTGTTACTGAAGGGGCAGAATTAAAACAGATTGATTGAGAGTATAAAAGTATTAAAATTTTACCTTGGCTTGTTCCATTTAGTTACTGGAATTAGAAGCTCATGTGGAAAAGCTGGTGAGACAGAGGGCTCATCGGACGTAGAGATGGCCTCAACTGAAGTAATGGCAGAAGAAGCACCAGTGGATGCTAGACCTGTATTGCAGGAGGCAGCAGACTCTAGATCTGTGTGCTCTATTCCTGCATCTCCTGTACCTGACTTTGATCCTCCCTTGTCAGAAAGTAAGTTCCAATCAAGTTCTACAGAATTGAGACCTCAAGAGCAGATGAGGATAAGTCATACCAGTGAATCTCCAATTTTAGAAACATCTGGAATGCCAGAGAGTGAGAGAACTGAAGAACAGGATTTTAAATGTGTTCTTCTGAACAAAAACTCTGTGAAAGATCAAGAAGAACAGACTTCTCCATATGTAAAGTGCAGCACGAATATTCCAGGTAGTTCAGAAAACAGTAATAGAACAGATGTTCTACCTTCAGACCCCTCTAGGGGTTCCGTAACGGATAGGATGCTGCACTGGAATGTACGTCCATCATTAAGTTCTGTCAGTCGTGAAGCTACCTGCTTGGGGATATTGGAAGAGACATTTCCAGAAGAACTTGGTAATGTAGATCTCAACAACTCTACAAGCTCAGGGTCTGATTTTGATGTAATAAACAGCTCGTATTTAGCAGGTGGTTCAGAAAATAAGGGGGATATTAAGGAGTTCAACACACATAAAGTGCTGAAAAAGACTGCATCTAACAGTGAAGAGGAGCTGCATCAAACACATAATGGAAGTGAATCTGCAGGTTGGAGATCAGACCTAAACCTTGTGCCACAAAAAAGAGGAGATGAATTGTGCAGTCCTCCAAAATTATTCTGCTTGGATGAAGAATTTACCAAGATGCCATCACCAATACCTCTTCATGAAAGAAAATATTCCCTGTCATCTGTGATTGCATCCTGTCAACATCTGGAGGAAATGGCATCAAAGATACAAGAAAATACGTTAGACTTAATACACAAATATAAGCGTAAGTGTCCGTGTACTTTAGGAACAAGATTTTGTCTGTTCTGTCACTGGGTATACTACCATAAATAACCTACTATGAATAGCTGAACCCTGCTGTAGAAGTGTAGGGGGACAGACAGATTATTTGCATGCTTATTCTTCATGGAAGATCATAGAATGATAGATTTGTTTGGGTTGGAAGGGGCCTTATACATTATGTAGTTCCAGTGCCCCTTGCTATAGGCAGGGACACCTTCCACTAGACCAGGTTGCTCAAAGGCCCAACCAACCTGGCCGTGCACAATTTCAGGGAGGAGGCATCCACAGCTTCTCTGGGCAACCTGTCCTAGTGTCTCACCACCCTCGTAGTGAAGAATTTCCTTTTTTGTATCTAATGTAAGTCTACCCTTTTTCAGTTGAAAGCCATTACCCCTTGTCCTGTCGCGACATGCCCTTGTCATGCCCTTGTCAAAAGTGCCTCTCCACCTTTCTTGTAGGCCCCTTCAGGTACTGAAAGGCCGCTGTAAGATCTCCCCAGAGTCTTCTCTTCTCCAGGCTGAACAGCCCCAACTCTCCCAGCCTTTCATCATAGGAGAGGTTCTCCAGAATCACCTCCCTTGACCTGCTGGCCATGCTGCTTTTGATGCAGCCAAGGATATGGCTGGCCTTCTGGGCTGCAAGCGCACATTGCTGGGTCATGTTGAACTTCTTATTAACGAGTACCGCCAAGTTCTTTTCCTCAGGGCTGCTCTCAATCGCTTTATCCCTCAGCCTGTGTTTGTGCTTGGGATTGTCCCAACCCACGTGCAGGACCTTGTATGTGGCTATTTTGGACTCCATGAGGTCTGCACAGGCTCACTTCTCAAGCCTGTCAAGGTCCCTCTGGATGACATCCCTTCCTTCCAGTGTGTCGACCGCACCAAACAGCTTGGGGTTGTCGGCAGACTTGCTGAGGGTGCACTTGATCCTGCTGTCCATGTCACCAACGAGATGTTAAACAGTGCCAGTCCCAGTACTGACCCCTGAGGAATGCCACTCGTCACAAGATGAGACATAAACATGCTTCCTTTAGCTGTATCAGCATCTTGCAAGTAGGAGGGAAGGTGCTGATGGGACTTTCTGTGGTAATCTGCAGCAATGGAGTCATCTGAAGTTAAATTTTGAGAGTTCACAAAGTTAGTTTGAAATAGCATGTTTACTCTGAACAAATTTGGCTATTTAGAAATGTGTTGTAGGTAATTTAAACTTTTGTGAGGTCAGTCAGGTGTTCACAGTCTGTAATACCTTATTATACTTTTTATTATGAAATGTCCTGCATTCCATCCTGCTTGTTCCTCACCCCATTTCCAACAGAAGTTTCAACTTTGTTTAACCAGTAGTGCAGTGTTAATTTACATGTGAGATCAATTTTTGAAATACAGTAGTAAAAATTAGCCAGTAATCATTATACACAATACTTTCACCAAAACAGGTGGTATTTAGTGGAGTACTAGGAATTTAACACAACAAGCTAGTCCCAAGGAGTAGTAAGATTTATACTTTATGCAAAGGCTTGCTGCAGTTTAGCTTTCCCTTAAAATTGTGGCTGTACTGATAGCAGATGATTTTACCTTACTTGAAATAGTTATGAAAATTAGACGTGTCATTTCGTATATGCTTTTTTAATATACACCAAACACTTTTGGAGCTGTATTTCTGTCAATTAATTGAATATTATTAGTGCTATCTAATACACTTTTTATTCCAGATGAAGAGCAGCTGAATGAGAAGGTAGACTCGGAGGAACCAGCAGCAGGACAGGTCTCAGAGGAACCAGCAGGGGGACAGGACTCGGAGGAACCAGCAGCAGGACAGCATTTGTAAAGCAGAAGCAAAACCATGGCAGTGGTTCACTTAGCACGTAGCATTGTCTCCAAGCACTGCCTAGATGGAGAAGTTGTGCTCCTTTCTGTTGTTTTGTGAAGACTGTATTCTAGTCTCCTTGTTCAGAACTACCACTTACCTTCTCTTGTTCTTCCAATTTCCTGTCATCCATGGTAGCGTTCTGTGTACAGCCCATAATTTAGGTACAGAACTATATATTCCTTTCTAAGTATATTTTTAAAAATAGCAGAGTAGACGACATAATCCTAGAAAATGTGAAAACAAAGTCTCAAATGAGAAATAGCGAAATCCTTGGTGCCTCTATCTTGCCCCTGATTGACATGCGCACCCCACCCAAACCCCCAAAACCAAAACTGAAACAGAAACCAACCCAAATTTTACTTGGTGCTCTACATTATTGGATTCTTATCTCATATTAAGACTTCTGGTCGATATTGCTGTCAGTTTTGCCTGTTGATAGAGGCTTCTCTCGTTGTATAAACTTCCACTGAAGTGCCTGTTTCTGTAGGCATACACACTAAATTTGTGAAATTTTTTGTGGCTTGTGGTAGTGTTAATGCCGTTTTGATTAAGATTTATGATGTTGTGATGTAATTAATGGATAATACAGGTTGTGATGGGATGGGAATGTGAAAGTTGAGATTCTACCAGATAAATACCTTACTGTAAAAGTACTGACCCCTAACTTGATGTGTTTACAGAGTTTTGAAACATTGCTAAATAAAGCTGTTTTTGTCTTTTGGCATATCTTTCTGCTCCTTTCTTCCAGAACAGTTGAAAATGGTTTTAAGAAGACTCTCCACTTGTATTTGGCATTTTCTTTTATCGAGCAGAATTTGACAAGCATTATGAGTAGAGGGTTATGTGGCTGGCTGTGGAAGCTGTAATAGGGCTGCTAATATGTTAACAGCTAAGAGGGAGGTGCTTAGTAGGATATTTGCATGTTGATCTAATCATGGTCAGACAGCCAGAGAACTGGGAGATCTGATCTTAGCTCTTGGCTCTGTGTAATAGGCCCAGCTATGTTCCTTGCAGGCCTGGGCTGTAGAACTTGGTGCTGGTGACTTCACAGAGGTTACCCAGGAGACCGACAAGGCTTTCATGCGTAGGTCACAAGAGGCTTAAAAGCAGGGCCATAGAGCTCTGGCTGGGACACCACTCAAGAAGCCTAGACATGCTGCACCAGGGAAGGCGCTGGTCAGGTGCTATTTGTAGTACAGTCTGTACCAGTGTCATGTGCTCCATCCCTGCTTCCGGAGGTTCCTACACAATCTGACATGTTTGTCCCCAGGGACTGCTCCTGAAGAGTGGTGGTGGTTTTTTTTGTGAGGTGTTTTGTTGTTTTTTTTTTTCCCTGCTACAGACCATCTGCTGAGAAAGGCCTGAACTATAACAGTTGTTCTTGGCACACATGTCTCCTATATCGCCTGTGCCTTTGCATGTGGTTCCGTCCTTGAAGAAGTGTCTTTGTCAGCTGTGCTCCTGTGGGTACGTAAAAGAGGATGGGGGATGGAGCGTGGAGCAGCGGTTACTTGGCTAGCAGGCTGCCTTGCTGTTTAGGACTGCACGGTTATTCACTGCTGTAAGCTGCATATGAAAAGTTATAAATAACTGTATCTTAGAGCATTCTTAAAGCTTCTGAACAGGAAGCATTTTTTTCTCATTCCGTATATTCAACCACGTGGTTCTTGGGTTTTGTCATAGGAGTAAAGAAATGGCAGGGAGGCTTCCCTTTTTTCTTATGTAGGTGGACTGCAACTCTTAAGAGAGCTTTCCACTTTTAGGCTGCAAACTTGCTTTTGGATGGGTGTTAATGGCTTGGAGTCTGTGTTTTAATGTAAAACAAGGTGATGCTTCCTCTGTAAATATGATAGTTGTGGAAAAGATACAGGGGTAGAACTTTACAAATGGAAGAGACAACTGAAAATACCAGGATTCTTTAGTGGTTTTTTTTAGTGTCAATCTGGTGAATGCATACAAAGTTTTCTTGAAAGCAATGATTAGCTTTAGGCCCTTTGGTGTAACATTCATTCTCCCATATTTGCAGGTTCAGAATAAAATTATTATAAGGGAAAAAAAAAGTCTTCACGACTCATTCAGATTACTTGCCTTAGTTTGGTTTAAAGCTACTAAATAATTATGAAGAGAGTTTAAAAGTACAAAATTCCCACCCAGAGTTTAGCTGGTATTCATTGTTGTTGCTCATCATGAGGAACAAGCGCATGTACTCCAAAAAGAAAACCAATAGAAATGATGATACCAAGCAGATTATAAAACATGGTTTTGAGTACTTTGATCAGACTCTGTTTGGTAAGGTACAAATGAATCTGCTCCCTCCGTTCCTTGTTCTGTATGTTTCATTTTTTTTTTTTTTAATCAGTATTTATATTTAACGCTGGGCAATATGTTCTGGAGAGAAGTAAGAGTGACTTGATTCTTATGTTAGGAGGACTGTGTTGTCAAGGACATAAACATGCAGCACTGAGATCTGGATTGAGAAGGATCCTCTTGTTCTAACCAAGTAATGTACTGAAAGATAGGTCTGTCTTTGAGGCTTGCAGTGATCTTTCAGATGCTAGATGAGCTAGTAGGGTAGCTCAATCTGAGGATGTGGTAAATACCTTGATAGTGGCCTGTCTTAACAAAAATTAAACTGGATTTTGGGTTGCTACTACCTTGGCAGTTCTGGATTAAGAAATGACAGCTAAGAATTTGGAGTTTCCTGTGAAGACCTGGCCTCAGATTCCAAGTGATATAGGTAAGAGCAGAAATTACGTACCTGTGCACCTTAGGGACCTTTACTGCTTGCAGGTAAGTGCAACGCTGTAGTTTTTGTGGCAGGCACTTTTGTGTCCACTGGTCTGTGGCAGATAGTTAGGACATTTTGGTTAGAGTTGTATTAGAAGGCCATATATGTTGAACTTTAGGATAAAATCCTTCTTTTGTAGAGCAGTGATTTAATGATTAGTGAGGGGGAGTTGAGAGAACAGCAGGGTATTATCAGCAGCTACAGCTACAACTTTGTATATGTTTTTGTGACTTCTTTAAAACGGGGTATTTGCTGAAGTGGAATACAGTATTCATAATGCACAGTGTTAAGCGTCTTGGACACCTATTCTGAAATACCATTCAGAAGTACTTACCCATTAAACTTGGGAAATTATTTTTCTCATAAAGTTCCTAATCAGAAGATTCCTTTTTTTGATTTTCTAAGAATAAGGAATTTGGGCTTCTGAAGTTATGTGCACTGGATTATCATTAACTGAAGTACACAGTGCAAATACCTCACTTCTTTCTCCAGAGGAGAGTATGCTGTAATCTAGTGTAGCACTGCAGAGCTATCAGTGTTCCGCAGTTTAGATTTGCCCATCCTTCCCAGGTGAGTTCCAAAAGGGCAGATTTATGAACTCTGTACTGTTTGGTCTCTTTTTTACTCTGGAGGATTATACTAACATTCTGTTCTTACCAAACATATACACATTGCTCATAAAGGTGTGATGAAGTGTCTGGAATATCTTTCCTCTAAGTATAATGTTAAGTGGTACGATGTTTGGCAGTAGCATATCAAATAATATGTAGCTGTAACAAAACGTAGATTGCTATAGCTTTTGTAGGATAACAGATAACTTTGTAGGTAAGTTTGCAGTCTCTCACAGGAGAACATACATCTGTACTGAACATACATCAATATTTTTATTGAAAAGTAAAGCTATAAGAACATACAATTGACTGTCACTAGTTCACTGAGCATTGAAAAATGCAAATACAGTTCTTTCAATGAGTTTCTGCATGTAATGGGAGAAACGGCCTTAATTACTAGACTTTATGAATAGAAAGTCCCCTCTGTTGTGTAACTGCTGCTTTTAGAATGGTTCATTGTGGCCAGTGGTAGCACTAGCTGTGAGATGGAAGTTTCTACTTTGTGCTACATATGGCTGTGAATAGAATACATATGTTAATTCTGCATAAACATATGTTTTTTGAGTCATTTATGCATTCTGTACTGTCTGTAATGGTGTGGACTGAGAAAATACTTTTTTCTTTTTATCAGCTGGGACAAACAGAAGTAATAGAGGCTCTGAAATGTGTAGCTTTTGAAATCAACATGGCCTGTTCCATCACAGCTTTGAGATGTTAGGGAAAGGCTTTTGACTTAGCTCTTCTAGCTAGTAAACTACATGCAACACTGACCAGACCACTGGGGTGTGGGTCCCCTGTGAGAGCTACAGATTTTCTAAAGATTCCAGGATGTTCCATGCTCAGGACTTCTTGGTATGGATGTTTACAACACAACTGCTAAATGATAAGTGACATTTATGGATGTGTTCATATATATGCATGTATGGAAAGATCAGAAATACGTGTTATTGTTCCTTAAGGGGCAAATTCACACCACGTTTCATTCATGGGTGGGGGGTGTGCGTGTGTGAGATGGTGGATGGAGGCATGAGGGTAAGAATTCCTGTATATTAAGGCAGCAGTGTAGACTGGCTTTTCGTAGCAGCAGCAGTGCAACGAGAAGGTGTTGGAGATAACTGGTCAGCTTGTAGCCATGTTTTCTTATTTCGCTTCCCACAATTTGTGCGGATCTGCTGACTGAAATTAAGAACCTGTGAGGGCAAGAACAACTGCAGGCAAGGATTACTTCCTTTTGTGCTCCTGTATCTTATACAAAAACCCCATTTATGTACAAGGAAGTAACACTGAACCTTTAGTAATTCCATAAGATCACAGCTGAGGTTCTTGTAATGCCTTGCACAAGGGATGAGCAGTTGTCCACGGTGTCACAGGGACAACTGAGAAGAAGTAAGCAGATTTTTGTGGTGTATTTGAGGTACATGTTGAAGTGATTGTGTGCTTTTGCCCAATAACTCATAGCTTTCATTGTTTTGCATGTAGAAGAGTGTATATTCATCTTCAGTATAACTGCAGAGAAGTTTCTCAGAGCTGAGCTGTAAATGATCTAAGATACTTGTTAG